CCCCCCGGCCCCCAAATCCTCATCACCTGTTCCTCTCCCCATCACCCTCACCCTCACCCTCACCCTCACCCTCCCCCCTCAGCGGCGAATCCCTACCGGTATGATCGAAATCGGGAACGACCTCGCCCTCCGTCACCACCGGGAACGGCGTGAGGACGTGCGTGATGTCTCCCCACCACGCCTCCCCAAATGCGCGGTACCAGTCCGCCGTCTGCCGTAGACCGTCCTCTATCGTCGTTTTGGGCCTCCAGCCCAGCCCGCGCAACTTGGTGGCGTCGATGGCGTAGCGTCGGTCGTTGAAGGGCCTGTCGTGCGTGTACTTGATCCACCGGCGCGTGCCGTCGGGCCCGTCGCGCCTGATGCGCGCGGCGTCCATGATCTTGCCGCACAGGTCCAGATTGGAGACCTCGTCGTTGGAGCCGACATTGTAGATCTGCCCCAGCTGTCCCCTGTGCAGGATCGTGTCGAAGGCATCGGCCGCGTCGGCCGCGTACAGGTACCGTCTCGTCGGGCTACCGTCACCGTGGAGTACGACCGGTTGACCTCTGTGGAGAAGACAGGCGAATTTCGGTATGATTTCTGCGTGTCTGGTCAGCTAGCTACAAGAGGGGAAGCAGAGATTATATGAAACGATGGAAGAGAGGAGAGAGAGAGAGAGAGAGAGTGTGTGTGTGTGTGTGTGAAACAAAACACACACACACACACCATCTCAACAAAACAGAGAGAGAGAGAAAAAAGAAAGAAAGGGCGGGCTCACTCTCAGGGTATTGATGCGGTCCGTAGACATTGTTGCTCCTGACAATGATGACGGGCAGTTTGAAACTCTTCTGGTATGACTGGACCAGCATCTCGGCGGCGGCCTTGCTGGCGGCGTACGGGTTCGTCGGGGCCAGTATGCTCGACTCGAGCAGGTCGCCCTCGTGCTCCCTGACCTCACCGTAGACCTCGTCCGTCGAGACGTGGACGAAGCGGCGGATGCCGACCTTCTTGGCGCTCTCCAGCAGCACGTGCGTCCCGTAGACGTTTGTGTGCGTGAAGCCGTACGAGTTGCCGAAGCTCAGGTCCACGTGCGACTGCGCCGCGAAGTGAAGCACCGTGTCGACCGAGTGTCGCTCCATGCAATCCACCACCTGGCTCGGCTCCGTCACGTCCCCCCGCACAAAGGTGAAGTTGGTCCGCCCGTCCAGGCAGCCGGTATTGTTGAGCGACGAGCAGTAGTCTAGCTTGTCGAAGGATATGATGTTGTAGGCTGTCGGGTATGTCAGTGCCAGGTGACGGACTACCCAACATGCTCTTTTACTCTCGGTCAGTCTCTCTCTCTTTCTCGTCTCTCTCTCTTTCTCGTCTCTCTCTCTTTCTCGTCTCTCTCTCTTTCTCGTCTCTCTCTCTTTCTCGTCTCTCTCTCTTTCTCGTCTCTCTTTTTCTTGTCTGTCTCTGCATGTTTCACATATACACACGCACATGCACGCACACACNTCGTCTCTCTCTCTTTCTCGTCTCTCTCTCTTTCTCGTCTCTCTCTCTTTCTCGTCTCTCTCTCTTTCTCGTCTCTCTCTCTTTCTCGTCTCTCTTTTTCTTGTCTGTCTCTGCATGTTTCACATATACACACGCACATGCACGCACACACACGCATATATTCTCTCTCTCTCTCTCTCTCTCTCATATGAGGAGGGGGGGGGGAGGGGAGGGATAAGAAAAGAAGAAACACAAGACTCACATGAATCCTTCTCCCCCCGTCACCATGATATTCCTCACATCCGACCGCGGCTCAAACTTGGTACTCCCCGTCAGAACCGGTGCTCTCCTCCACACTGCCTCCTCCCGTTGACGAAATTCGTGATGACCATTTGTCCCTGGAGAGATGATTGTCAGGAACCCTTCCTCCTCCCCTTCCCAGAGGAAAAAAAAGAATGAGGAAAAAAAAAATAAAACAAGAAAAAAAAAAGTCAGAAGACGTTGAGTGCTTGCTCACCCTCTCCCTCCGTCCTGGATGATGTCGTCATCGTCGCCCAGCACACCCGACTGGGCGACAGTGTCTGTAAAGTCTTGGCGATTCGTAACGGAGTTGTCGTGGTGCGGTTCATCTGTTGCTGCCATGAAAATCCAGGTGCGCGCTTTTCACTCCCCTTTCCCTTGTCTTTCTCTCTCTCTCTCTCTCTCTCTCTGCGTATGTCTTTCTGTCTCTCTCTCTCTCTCTCTCTCTCTCCCTCTGCGTATGTCTTTCTCTCTCTCTCTCTCTCTCTCTCTCTCTCTTGTGTATGTGCGCCGCCCCTCCCTCAGAGCATGTGGTGGAAGGATGGTCGTGTGTCGCAAAGCAGCCCACCCTGTCCCTTGTCCGTTATGAAAGATGGCCTTGAGATCCTCTCCCCTGCCAAAATAAAGTATATTATAGGCAGTAATGTAGTTTTCAAGACTGCGGCTTGTGATTGGCCCTTCCTTTTTCCTCTTCTCCCTCAACTTCTTCATGAACAGCTCATTTCTTCGTAATGCGCGTGCTTTTAGCGCTGAAAAAAAAAAGGATTAAGCCACGAGTCACGCACGGCATTGTTTTCTGCGACGGCGAATGGGGAGAGGGGCGCGGGCGCAGGCACGCACACACCCTGGAGCAAGAGGAAGGGGGGAGAGAGAAATGTTGGGGGGAGGATCCACCATGATCAAATCATACATGTATTACTCGTTAATTAGAAATGGGGTATTCTAAAAGAATGAATCGAATGGATCTTGTTCTTATTCCCCTCCCTCTTGCTTCATATATCACTCTCAACCGTGCGTCATCTTCACACCTCTTCTTCTTGCCGTTGCAGAGACATGGATCAAGGCCCTCCTCTAGAGGGTATGCTTGGACAAGAAGAGAAGAAGAAGATCTCTGTAAGGAAAAGCAGAGATTTGGGACATGGAGAAGCAAGCCATAGTACAAGATATCCCCCCTCCCCAAGATTGAAAAAAAAACAAAAAAAAACAAAAGATAGATGAGTTGAGACACTTCACAGATTGAACCTCTTCCTGTCCTTTTCCATCTTGGCCTTCCACTCCCACTGCGTAGCATCGTCACCCTCGCTGCCGGCGCGGCCGATGCCCTTGTCGACGCGACGCAGCTTGAGGGTGAACCTGGGCCCCAGCTCCTGAAGGCCGGCGCGGATGCCCTCGACGCCGGCCATGTCTTTGCCGTCGTCGCCGGCGACGCTCTTCTCGGTCTGCCTCTTGTCTCGGAAGACGTACCTGTGCCTCCGGACGAAGATGTAGTCGCGCTGGTTGTGCAGGGTGACGACCTGTCGACCCTGCAGCTCGGGTCGGGGCGGGAACATGGTCATGAACAGGCGGGCCGTCAGCAGGCCGAGCGGCGTCTTGAAGTTGTTGAGCAGCAGCTCGGGGTAGTGGTTGGTCGGGTTGCCGTGGCCCGGGAGCTGCCTGCCCTCGATCCAGTTGGAGATGGAGAAGTGCAGGGTCGGCCCGGTCGGGAGGTGGACGACCGAGATGCCCGTGGGCCGCTTCTGGTCCTCCTTGAGCAGGACGACGGCCGTGTAGCCCCGGTTGACGGAGAACTTGCAGATCTCGCGCAGCGAGTAGCGGTGGCTGTAGCGGTGCGACGACCGCGGGATGTACGAGCTGTTGGGGAACATGGTGCACAGCAGGTGCGCCTCGCTGTGCAGCGTCGAGTTGAGCGAGGTCGTCACCAGGATCTTGGGCTCCGGCGGCGGCACGTCGCTGAATAGGCTGGGGAACTTGAGCGCCAGCGACGACGGCGTCAGGTCCATGCTCGTGCTCGTCGTCGACGGCGCCGTGCTGGCGTCCCGTCCGCTCCGCTTCTTCTCCTCCTTCTCCAGCTCCTTGGCCTCCCTGGTCTTTTCGTCATCGTCCGAGTCGGAGTCGAGCATGCTGTCGTGGTCGTCATCCTCCTCTGCTCCTGCCCGGTTCCCGCCGTCGTCTAGCGGTGCGTGAGCCTCGGCCTCGGCCTCTTCCAGTCGTCGCCTCCGAAGCTTCTCCAGGTCCACCTGCGCACCGAGGCTGTCATCGTCGCCATCGTCCCACACTCGCTTCTGGTCCAGAGATAGCGTCTTGTTCCTGGCCAGTCGGGCTGCCTTGAGCGCAGGGTCGCGGGCTTCCTCTTTGCGTCGACGGTGTCGCGCCTCGTGGCGTTCCTTGCCGGATGCCCTCTTGTGCTCTACAAAGAGATCTCGTCGGTTGAGCTTGTTGGACGAGTTGATGGCCTGCATAGAAGGCTTTCTGAAGCCCATGATTGCGAATGTGTTTTTGTGTCTTTTTTTTTCTTCTCCGAGAGAATTTCTATGTGTTATCTCTCTCTCTCTCTCTTTCTCTTTTCCTCTCCAAAGAAAATCAGATAGTATACACCGAGAGGAAGAAAATGAAAGTAAGAGGTTGATGAACTTTTTTTCTTTTTTTCTTTTCTTTTTGGCCAGTCGAGGGGCAGGGGTAGGTGACGGATTAGATCACACAGTGCTACCAGCATCCTAAGGAAAAAATGGTTGAGCTATTTTGTCATCATGCAGAAACGGCAAAAAGTGGATACAAGGGCCCATCCCACCCAGGCGGCAGAAAAATCGAAAAATATGGCGGTGAGAGCTGCTCTACCAATATTTTTTACCCAGAGATCTTCTATGATGAATAGTCTCTATACAACTTTCGTTCAACCCCTCCAGCAGAACAACAACAGCAACGACGACACACAGAGGGAGGGGACTAAAAAACAAGACATACTAAACAAAACAAGACTTCTCGAAAAACCTGAGGCCTGATACGATGGCTCCCAACGGGGTGAAACGTAGAAAACTCGAGCACGACTCATCCGACGACGACGCCAACAGCAAATCTCAACAGTCAACCCGCAAGACGCAAAAAGCCTTCATCAGCAACGCCTCCAACTGGAACCTCGAGGAGGACTACGAGTCCCGACCACGCAAGAACAAGAAGTCCAAGAAAGAACAGGAGAGGGCGGCGGCTTCGAACCGTCTCCCTCTCAAGAACACGGATAGCGGTCGGCTAGAGATTATCCGCAATATCCAGGCCGACGACGCGGCGGCAGGAGGACGGTCGTCTTCCGATGAGGACGGGAGCGACACCGAGTGGCTCGGCGTGGACGGGGACAGGGACGGCCGAGGTGAGGAGGACGACCGCGGAGAGGCCAGGAAGTACAAACACCAGCCAAAGGAGAACCCCAAGCCGGAGCGCGAGCAGATCCTACAGGCGCAGGAGGAGCTGGCGCGGCTGGCCACGGCCGTCAGCGAGGACCCGGAGGAGAATGTCGGGGCCTTCCGGGCCCTGGGAAAGCTGGGGGCGACACGTATCCTACCCATCAAGGTGCTCACGCTCATGACGCAGATGACGGTGTACAAGGACGTGATCCCCGGATACCGGATACGCGCATTCGGCGGGGAGAGGGCCAAGGAGAAGCTGGTGTCTAAGGAGGTGCGGCAGCTGCGCAGCTACGAGGAGTCGCTCCTGAGCGGGTACCAGTCGTACCTGAAGGAGCTGGCCAAGTGCGCGCGGGACCGTCGCGACGTGGGCAGCGGCACCACCCTGGCCAGCGTGGCCGTGACGTGCGCGTGCACGCTCCTCACGGCGGTGCCGCACTTCAACCTCCGTGAGGATCTGCTGCGCATCCTGGTCGGCAAGCTGAGCATGGCGCGGCTCGATGCCGACGGCGCCCGCTGCATCGATGCGCTCGAGACCCTCTTCCGCGAGGACGACGAGGGCCGCCCCTCCATGGAGGCCGTCGCCCTGCTGTCCAAGATGATGAGGGCCCGCAACTACCGCGTCAGCGAGCGCGTCCTCGACCTCTTCCTCTCCCTCCGGTTGCTGTCCGAGTTCAGCGGTCAGGCCTCGTACAACTCCGTCGAGCGCACCGGCGACTCGGCCGGCCCCAAGCAGAAGAAGAAGCGAGAGTTCCGCACCAAGCGCCTCCGTAAGGACCTCAAGGAGCAGAAGGCCCTGGAGAAGGAGATGATCCAGGCAGACGCCCTCGTATCCCACGAGGAGCGCGACCGCATGCAGTCCGAGACGCTCAAGCTCGTCTTCGCCACCTACTTCCGCATCCTCAAGGCCCGCAGCCCGCAGCTCATGGGCGCCGTGCTCGAGGGCCTGGCGAAGTACGCCCACCTGATCAACCAGGACTTCTTCGGCGACCTTCTCGAGGCCCTCAAGGACCTCATCCGCTACAGCGATCTCGACGCCGCCGCCGCCGCCGCCGACGACGACGACCTGAACCGGAACCGGAACCAGGACCAGAGCGAGCACCCAGAAGACCAAGACGGCAACCAGGACGACGGCGCGGGCGAGAGCAGCGATGAGTCCGAAGAAGAAGCAGAAGAAGAAGAAGAATCAGGCGACGTTAGCGTGCGTAACCTCACGCGCGAATCCCTCCTGTGCACGGTGACGGCCTACGCCCTCCTGGCCGGTCAGGACGCCCACAACGCCCGCTCAGACCTCCACCTCGACCTCTCCTTCTTCACCAACCACCTCTACACCTCCCTGATGCCCCTGTCCCTCAATCCGGACCTGGAGCTCTCCAAGCCCGCGTCCGGGTCGGCGTCGACCGACTCCAAGATCAATGTCCAGACCACGACGGTCCTCCTCCTCCGGTCACTCACCTCGGTCCTCCTCCCCTCGTACAACATCCGCTCCGTCCCGCCCACCCGCCTCGCCGCCTTCGCCAAGCAGCTATCCTCCGTGGCCCTGCAGCTGCCCGACCGGTCGGCCCAGGGCGTCCTCGCCCTGCTGCATGACGTCGCACGCACGCACGGGAGGCGCATCTCTTCGCTGTGGAACACCGAGGAGAGGAAGGGCGACGGCCGCTTCAACCCCGTCGCTTCTACCGTCGAGGGCACAAACCCCTTTGCTGCTACCGTCTGGGAGGGTGAGCTTCTCAAGAAACACTTCTCCCCCAAGGTGAGGGAGGGTGCTAGGATGTTGGAGAAGGCCATTGCTTCCTCGTAGTTTTTCAGCTCTTATGAATTCAGATATATATATATACTCTCAACTTTCATGTATATATACATCTTCTTTTCTGCCTTACCCTATATGCCATCCCTGCTCCGACCTACGTGCGGCTCTTTTCTCTTTGCCTCCTTGATTTACGCCGTGTCTCTCGCCTCTTTTCTCTAGATTGGAAATCTACGTGGTCCTTGACTTACTCGGCGCTGCTTTCTCTAACGTGGTATCCTGTCCGTGCCTTGACTTACAACTTGTGGCTCATTCATTTCTTGTTTTCAAGCACATCACACTCACAGTTCATCCCACCATGAACACCGGGGTATATTCATATCTCATGAGCCCACCATGGCAAACTTCACTATTCATAATTTTTTCTCTTCTTTCTTCTTTCATCTTTTCTCAAGAGGCTGGTTAACCTCTTCTTTCTCCTCGCGTGTCGGAGCCTTTTCTTTTTCTCCTCTCCTTTTCTGGAGAGATCCATTCCTTTGGCCTCGTCCCTGACCTCTCTGACCTCGTCTGAACCGATTCATGCATAATTCGATACAATCTTGCTCTCTCTATCTCTCTCTCCCTCCCTCCCATTTGTTGGACCATTTGTTGGAAAACAGAAAAAGACAACGTCTGAATCTCCTTGACCGAATAGAAAAAAGAAATGAGAATGAAGGAAGGGGGAGAAAAAGAGCAAACGTGAAAGAAGAGGAGGGTGACAAAAGAAATGGAGGAGAAGAGGAAGAAGAGATAAGAAAGAGAAAAAGAAGAAAGAAAAAAACTTAATCATACATATGGTACAATTATTCAACAGCATCATGCAACTCACCCATACCACGAGGGCTCAACTCCGTCGTCACCCCATCCATCTGCTGTGACGAAGTGCAGGATGCTTCCCAGTCTGTTTTCAGACAATATCCCTTGATCAGTCTTCCTCTAATCCTCAAATCATCTTCTCGGATAGGAAAGAAATACTCACCAGTTCCATCATCGTTGATTTGCTCGACAATAAGTTGACGCAGGGTTTCATTGACGCCTGCAATGACAAAAAAAGAAAGACATCAAATGTTAGAACATCTTCACAATTCTCTCAAAAACTCCTCTTCCCTCTTCCCTGGAAACTCACCTTGCTGTAGATTCTCAAACACAGCGTACAAATTCTCGCGAGACTCGCTCTCGAGATCATAGTATCTCCTGCACTTCCTGACAACCCTGACGATCCAGTCGGCCTGCTCCCTAGCGATAGGTGCCCCGGTCTTGACGTGCGTCTCGTGCAGGTGCTTGAGGCAGGAAACGCCCAGCTGCTGAGCCGTCGTGGTGACGAGATTGCGTCTCGTCTGCTGCTGCTGCTGCTGCTGCTCCTGTGACTGAACACCTCCATCATCATCATCCTCACTGCTCGTCTCCGATTCCGCTGCCGCTGCCGCTGCCGCCTCGTCACCAAAGTCATACTCGAGAGGGATACTGAATATCTCCTCTTCGAGAATGCTCAGGACGCCGGCCCTGACGTCAGATGACGGGTGCGTCAGTCCGGTCGGTGCCCAGTGCGGAATCAGCTTGACGGCGTGATCGTGCAGCATCTGCCGCGGGGAGTCTCGGTTGGCCGATCCCAGAACCATGGCGTTGCTGAACAGCGACACCACGGCATGCATGTCGGCCGTGTGTATCCTTCTGGCTTCGGCAGCCACGTGGGCCAGCAGGTTCTGGGCGTGGGATAGGACAGGAGTCCAGCTCAGATATCCGGCTGCCACGCGGAGGAAGCAGTCAACAGGTTGCGACGGCGAGTCACCGCGGATGTTGGCCTCGAGAGTCTGTGCGACGGCGAGATCCATGCGGTTGCTCGTCCGGACCAGCCGTGCCACGATCCTGTCCGTCGCGTCCGGCATCTGGTCGATGCCCACCAGCTTCTCGACAAAGAAGCTGTAGGGCAGTCCCTCTGGGTGGTCGTGCAAAAAAGCGGCCTCCGCAGACGTCCAGCTGAATGGCGGCTGCTCCTCCAGGAGCCGGTCCGACGCGGACTCGGTAATCGTGTTGGGCCCCAGAGTGGGCGCCATCTGCATCAGCAGGTGTTCGATCCCGAGCACGATCTCCTGGTACGATGGCGGCCTGTTGTTCATCCTCCTCTGGATGTTCTGCAGCATCCGGGCGTAGTTGGCTGCCATGGGGGCGATGGGGTCCGCGGCAATGATGCGGCACAGCTTGAGGAGGCAGTCATCCGCGAGGACGTACGATGTCTCGCGGTCTCCCATCCTCGCGAACCGTACCAGCATACCGAAATGATCGTCCCACGCGCGGATGTGTATGTAAAAATACCTCCACATGTACCGGAACAGATCCATGACACCGGCAAGCACCGGAATACCCACATCTTCTGAGGCAGCTCGGTAAACCGCGGGATCGGCCGTGCCTGGCGACGTAGGACCCTCTCCTTCCCCGCCGTCATACACATGGTAGAAGCGCGGCATGTCGTCCGAGATCTTCTTCAGCGCCCGCAGCATGATGTGCGACGTCGACTGGCGGTTGGCCGCCTCGGGGTTGCGCTGTACCAGCGACCGCAGGGCCGCCGGGCGCTGGTAAAAGTACTTGTAGAACCAAAACGAATCCAGTGCAGAACTCTCGACGGCGGTGGATATCATCCCAATCAGGCTGTAGTCTTGAGCTGCCTCTCTCTTGCGCGACACGACCTGGTCAAAGTAGCTGAGGGACACCTCCATGGCGAGGTCCCGCAGGCTCTGGGTCGGCGAGCTGTCGACCGACGCGTCCTCATTGTCGCTGTCGCCGTTGCCGTCCATCATCACCGGGGTGTCCGTGGTGCCCGTGGTGACAGTGCTTCCCAGGGCACGGTCCAGGACTGCTGCCCGCTGGAACAGCTTCTGGACGAGAGTCGCGTGCGTCGGGTCGAAAAGGCAGTGGCGACGGAGGAGGTTGGTGTTCTCATCAAGGATATGTTCCTCCTGCTCCTTGTCCATCTTGACGTGTACGGGGACGGGGAGCTTCTTCTCCTCAACCTCCTGCTGCTGACGCTTCAACGAAGATGCGCGTTGGTAGAAGAGCATGTAGGCGCTGTAGGCCTTGTCGTATGGGACCCCGTTGTTGTCGTATGATGACCGAGCCTCCGGCCCGCCGAATGTGGCCGCCTCCATCCGCGAATGGTCCCAGGGGGTGACGATGTCGTCATTAAACTCTACCCAGCTGGGTCGATCAGGGCTCGTCGGTCGCTCGCGAATATACGAGTAGTAGTGACCCGATTCGGCCGTGCCGGCATGGACGAGGACGCCCGTAAGTTCAAACATGTCTTCCCCCTCGGCATCGGGGTTGTTTAGGCTCTCGGCGGTGTATGGCTTCAGGTTGATCTTGTCGGGGAACGTGAAGTAGTCGTTGATCTTGTTCCGCTGAAGCGTCCTGAGGTTGAACTCGAACCTCTTGAGGTGGAATATGATGTTGTCGGGGAGGTCCTTGAGGCAGGCCCTCTTCACGGCGTCGACGTGGCGGTCGCACGAAGAGCACTTGTACTTGTTATCGCCCTCCAAGACCTCGCCATCGACATAAGCCTGCAGGCTATCCTGCAGACACGTCTTGCCCTGCACGTCGCACTGAATGGCCGAAAAGGGCTCGAGCCGCTCGGAGATGTGCCCGCACTCCATCGACTTGATCTGCTGGACGAGCTGGCCTCCGTAGAACGAGCGAAGCCTGTTCTTCTCCGCCTGGGAGATGAGCTGACTCTCCCAGCGGTCAAACAGGAGGTTGTAGAACTCGTCAACGTCCATCTGGTTGTGGATGTCTATGTGGGTGTTGTCGTACGTCATGACCGTCTCGACAAAGTCGATGGGGTCCACGTAGCGGCGGTAGCTCTCCTGCATGAAGCCAAACATCTTCTTGGTGTTGCTGAGCATCTCCTGGCGGGTGTCGTCGGGGTCCTGAACTTCGGCCGACATGATGAAGTCGCGGAAGCTCGTGTTCATGAAGAGCTGCGTCATCAGCGAGTTGAGGTAGCACGTGTTAGACAGGTTGCGCAGCCCGACATATCCGCACGATGACCGCAGCGCTTTTTGGCGGTCAAATGAGTACGGTATCTCGTACAGGTACGGAGTGTCGTCGTCGTCCGTCATGGAGAAGGGGAGGACCTCGTTCATACTCTCCAGCACGGCCACAAGACTGCTGCGATCGTTCTTCACCAGACGGAAGATGACTTCGCAGACCTTGGCTCGCGTCTCCAGGTTCAGCACCACGCGAGGCACAGGCTCGTTGAACGAGTCGCGAGACCTGGGGAATAGGAGGTGCCAAAAGAGGTCGTACGCCAGTTCACGTGGCAAGACATCCGATGTGGCGATCTTCTCGTCAATCTGTAGACACATGTGCAGCAGTGATACGAACCCCCTAGGTACCGGGTCAAACGGCTCTGGCTGGTCCACAGTCTCGGTCGGCTGGTGGTCCAGGAGCGACCGGCTGCAGGTAGTGGCCAGCCAGGAGAGGCTGACGAGCTCGGGATTGTAGACAAATACCTTGATCATCAGGTTGTAGAGAAGCCCAAACAGATCGCGGCACTGATCTGGTCTCTCGGAGACCCGGGGGAGAAGCTCCTGTCCAAGGTTCCAGAAGTAGAGGGCGATGCGGTACGGCTTCGATTCCCCGTCGCCATCCGGCGCTTGGCCGCCAGGTGATTTCTGGAGAAGGCGACTCTCGCTTTCGTAAGACTCTTGGATGATCTTGTAGATGACCATCCTGATCTGGCTCCGTCGATCGAGGAGCATCATGTCGCGTGCTATCCTCTCAAACTTGCTGTCTAGGATCAGAGCGCCCCAGAACTGCGCATCCTGGAGTCCCAGGTGCAGCAGGACGGCAAATGTGTTGACCGCCAGGCTGCCTGCAGAGTCCTCGTCGGAGTCGACCGCGTTGGATAGGACGTCGAGAAACCTAGCGGGCGAGGTGACACCAGCACTGGCGAGTTCGACGGGCGTCTGCTCCGAGTCCTGGAGCCACTGCATGAGGATATGCATGAGAGAGCTCGTCAACTCCAGTTCCAGCCGTGCGCTCATGTGAGCCACCACATCCGGGTCCAGGATTGCCTGCAGCACGAGTGACACGCTCCGCCCTCTCGCCTTGGAATAAGTTATCCGCGGAAGGCCCGGGAACTTGTTGGAATCGGGAGTCCCCGCCACCGTACTAGGCAAATCCCCCAGGCGCCTTGACTGCACAGCCAATTCCTTGTACTCGAAGAGGGCGTGGATGGCGTACAATGACCTGAACGGTTGTCCACGCGGGAAGATGTCCTTGTAGGACGTTTTCTCGTCCTCGAACGACTTGATGAAGCCCACGTCAGCGGGAAGCCATACCAGGAAATTGTATATCTGCACAGTAATGTCAGCAATCGAATATACGTCCAAGATCTGAGGGGAAGCGGTAAGTCAGTACCTCGCGAGCGAGGTGTTCTTGCAAGTTGAGATAGCCCCACATCTCACGGAAATGAGACATTATCTCAGTCTTGAGAGAGCTCCTCTCCGGATGCCTTGGCGAGTCGCCTTCACCTCCTTGGCTCTTATCACCGTCTGACCCTTCTTCCCCATCTCCATCCTCTTGCTCTCGCCTGACCAGGATCAGTCCTTCGCTTATCTGGAGGTCCTCGAGAGACTTGCTGACGTCCCGCTCGGTCGGACGGAAACGCTGGCCACGGTAGTATGCGCTGTAGTTGTCGAAGCCAGTTTCCTTCTTGATGCTGGCCAGGAGAGATGCCGCCGTGTTCCGTCTCCCGATGTTGAGTGGCTTGACATCGGTCTGCTGCACTCCATCAAAGGATTGGTACTTGAGCTGGGCCAAGTCGCCTGCTACTTCTGAGGGCGGCCGGCACATGACAGCTCGGAGATCCGGTGGTGAGAGCTCTGGTCTCGACTGGTAGGAGTCAAGAAAGTGCTTGAGGAACTGCAGTGAGCGCGTAAAGATGCGCTCCTGGTTCCGGGAAGGGGCCAGTTCGGTCGAGCCGTCGGTAGCCATGGGCGTCTCTTCTCCGCCGCCGTCGTCCGATCTCCCGTTGCTCTCGGTGGAAGCTCTAATCTCGTTGGCCGCATCCCTGAGCTGCAAAAAGCATCTCGTCACGAGAGAGGAATGCACCCGACGCATGCGGGACGGCGGGTACGCTAGGAGGAGATCGCTGTTGAGGTACACCTCTACAGCCATGATGGAGATGGCGCGGGTCGCAATGTGCGTGTCTGGGGATTCTAGTATGAGTCTCCAGAGCTGCTCCAGGCAGCTGGATCTGATGGCCGACTCGTCGTCGAGGTTGAAGTCGTCGGTAAACCTGACGAGGGAGATAGCCTCCCATCTGACAAACTCCAGGGCCCCCTCGCAGAAGCAGGACGCGGAGAGGGTAGGGAGGTAGACCGAAACGCAGGTGCGGATGAATGAGTTCTTAGACTGCGCATCGCTGCGGCTGTCGTTGATGATCTTCCACCCAGCCTCCCTGTCTTCGCGACTGAGGGAGTGCGGACCGACCAAGAGATCCCACAGCTTCCGGCCCAACTCATCACCGACAGCGTCAGGCTGGTAGCGTATGAGGTTGGCAAGGAATTCTAACCGAGGCCGATTGGCGTTTCCGGACACGACGGGAACAGTGGCCCCGGCAGAGCTATTGACAGCCCCTGCCTTGACGGCATTCTCAAGCTCGCCGACAAGGAGGCGTGCCAGGTCATGCTCCCGGGCGAGTGTCTGCATCTCATGGGCGACGTTGGACCTGATAGTCATGGAGAGGCACCACAGGCTCCCTAGCGTCGTCGGCGTCTTCTGTGAAAGATCTTCGAGGCAGCTCTGGTACAGGCGTTCCCGGCCGGTGACGTCTGGGCCGTATTGCAGGAGCTCCGAGAGTTTCTGGGTTGCCATGGTCTGCAGGTCTGGATGCGAGGCCTTGCCGCTGTTGACGATGGACGATTCGCGGAGCAGTCGCAGACAAAGGTTGTATGGCTGGTAGGTGAGGTGGTCATGGTCTTGACGATATTTAGCCACCATGTGCTGCATCAAGTTGTCCCAGAAGGAGCGGGTAGAGGCGGTGAAGCTGGCAATGGGTAGCTCCTCAAACTTCCCGCAGAGGTAGGACAATGTCGGATAGTCAAAGAGATTCATGATTGTGATCACCATGCGGGTCAGCGCTTCGCCGACTCTAGGGTCCTGGCAGCACGTTATGGCCTGCCACAGGCGATCAGTGTGTTCCCGCTGATACATCTTGGAGACGACCAGGAACCCAACGACGTTGGCGCTCTCGATAATAATCTCCGGGTGGCTGTTTGGTCCGATGATGTACTCGATCAAGCCACTCCGGAGTAGGTGCTGTGCGACGTGGTTCAAAAGGGGGTTGGCCGAGTCCTCCCCGACTCTCTTCCACAGGCCGACGAGCTCGCTGCACAGGGTAGCCGCGCCTGTCACTCGAAGCTGCATCTGGCTGCAGCGAATGAGCCTCTCCAGCATGCCGAAGCGCCACTCCTGCGCAATGGCCTCGGCCGTGGACGCTGGCGCCATGCTGGGATGGCTCCTGGTGTGCTGCAGCGTCATGTCGACGGCAGCCTTGTGAGAGCCCGAAAGGCAGACCATGAGAAGCTCTGACAGGGCCGTGATGGAGAAGGAGACGGCCTCCTTTGGCACTTGAGTGACGTGCTTGTCTATCAGTCCCGACAAGCAGGCCGACATCAAGGACCAGAGCTCATGGCCCTCTTCGAGGCGCACGTTGGCGACGCGGAGCTGGCCGTCGTCAGCGGGAGACGCTTCCCCGCGCGCTATCGACTCGTCCACAACGTTCGTGATGACATGGGTCAGAGCGCTCATGGCCTCTACCAACTTGGGGTTGGCCGGAAGGACGGCGACCAAGGTGGTTGCAAAGTTGGCGAGGAGAGCGAAGATATCGTTGGAGCACGATTCGAGCTTGTCCATGAACATGGAGACGTCGTCTGACAGAGTACCGTATTCTTCCAGCAAGGTGACTTCCGGGTCGACGTCGGCTACTGCGTCGCGTCGGGTGAGCACGTAGAGCTGGGCCATGAAGGGCACCGAGTGCAGCTGTATGGGGGGGTGCCCGCCGTTGGCCCCGGATGCCTGCGCAGCCCGAAGGCTCTGAAGGTCGACTTTGAGAGTGTACACTGCCAGCTCGATGAAGTTGCTGTAAAACCTCAAGACGAGATTACGATAATTGGGGACCCTATGCAGTGGTGGCCTTTATGTGACGAGGCTAGGGTCAGCTCTTGTCGAGGCACAGGAAGTACTGATATGGAAACAGGTTGAAAGCGAAAGAAGGGCCCGGCTCTCAACATACCTCAGCATGGGAAGTACAACGCTGGGAAATATGGACCAGAAAGTCTGATTCGACCGCAGGGACAGAGCGACACGGCTGTTCTCCGCCCCTCGGACGAAGTCGACATATCGGGCGAACCATTGGGAAATGTCCTCGAGAATAGTGAGATCGGGAGAAGCGTCTGAGCGGATCAGTTAGCCGAGGCACATCGAGGAGCGGAAGGAAAGTACGTCTGTCACGAGGCAGACGGGACATGTCGGGGACATGTATATATTGTTTTGCTCACGGGAATTCAGGTAGTGAAGCAGACGGTTGGCCGTCTCATAGAGGGGCTCCTGGGTGTCCTGATAGGGGAAGGTCTCGGTCGGGTCAAGGGCAAAATGGAGCTGGTCGGCCAGGGAAACAGCAGCCCCGGCGGTGTCGAGAGAAATCTCATCGTCGGGGTCCTGGACGAGCTCGACGGGGGGGCTTCCCGAGTCCAAGGAAGAGGAAGACTGGGTATCGCTCTGGACCAGGTCGACGGCGTCCTGGTCGGCAAGGTCGCGGTCGGGTACGTCAGGTACGTCGGAGTCCAGGACGGTAGCATCATGGCGAAGGGCAGGGGCCCCGCGTGATGTCAGGGACCCCAGCGACGACTCGGAGTCGTCCATGCTCTCAGCTCGGGCTGGGGTGCGAAGATTCAATGTGACCTTGCTCGAGGAGGGGGGGCCCGTCTGGTCTTGTTGGTCTTGTTGGTCTTTTTGGTCGGAGCTCATGGAGCGCTGAAGGGTCGGGGAGGTCTGGGGGGTCTTGTGGTCTGACCGGAGGCGGTCGGGGATGTGGACCTGGCCGCAGAGGATGGAGTCGGACTCGATAACGACGACGTCGTCGTCGTCGTCTTTGTGGTGGACGGCGGGGTCACTCGAGTTCTCGACGGAGCGCGAGGTCCGGCGGCGCTTCCGTGCAGAAGCCGTATCAATGTCGTCAGCGTCGTCAAATGGCTTAGGACGAGTCGATGCCGGCTCTGAAGATGGATGGCGTGGGGGTAGAGGCTGTTGTAGCTCTGAGAAATCCATTTGATTGCAACAGAGGATGGCGGCAGCACGTGGCCTGGTCTGGAGACGTCAGAGCGTCGTGGCAGCCGGCAGAACGGCTGGTGTCAAGAAACATGTGTGTGTGTGTGTAGGTGACGCGGCGCCTTTTTTTTTTATAATTTTTTTTGTGAGCAGGACGAGAGCGAAGAAGGCGGCTTGTTTTTCTTTGTCAAAAAGAAGAAGGAGAAAAAGTATATGTACGGAGTAGTAAGTGTTTGGTGAATGTGGAGGATTATTGGTGGTGGAGGTGGTGGGGTGGAGAGTGAGAAGCGTGATGACCGGGGGACAAGAGAGAGAGAAACCAAAAGTACGGAGTAGTAGGTCCCTCTGGGGGGAAGTCAAAAGAAAACTAGCTCGGTCAAAAGAAAAAAAAGGGGAAGAAGATTCGCACAGTAAGGTGAGGACGTATCGGAAGCAACCAGAGGGTTACGTAGTAACGAGATACGAGACGGGGTGAAGGGGAGAAGATGACCTTCTCTCTGCTTGAGCGGGGCGGAGAGGGAGAGAGGTCGAGGCAGGATGACGGTGATGTTTGTTGAAGGAAGATGGCGTTGCTTGTGTGGAACCCCGCGAGGGGTAGCTATAGGCGTAGTACCACGGACGTATAATACATACCAAGCACCTACGGGCTCCTGTAGACAGGCATCAACTATAGGCGGGTGCAGGCGGGTGTTGGCGGGGGAGGTCCGAGCTATAGTAGCCCGTAGTCTGTAAAGAGACTAGGACTGGAGGTCTTAGCCCGCACAGTCATCTGTACATGCAGCCTTATTCGTAAGACCAGACAGTGCTCTCTATCGAGGCTTCTATATCAGCACTCTATCAGTGTTATCATTCAATTATAGCACTGTCGGGTATCTCTATAGACGAGTTGTATAGACTGATATAGCGCCTGCCATTCGCTGACGGTCGGAGTAAATACAATGGCAAAGCGCAAACGGTCGCACCTGCCTGCTTACAGCATATGGCATTCATGTACTGAAATACTGTATGCAACACTCATGCCTCACCACAGTATCGCGCATAACAAAGGGAGTGCTGTATAGTGGTTACTCAGTACGAGCCAGACGGACTGCGTGGCGGAAGTCTAATATGTTGCAGATTCATGCTACGGGTACACGGCCGAAAGCCTTACGGAATAATCATGACAGTCGAAATCTTGAAAAGCCAGAAAGAGCCATGTGGTTCCCCTGTTACTAAGCTGTTACGTAGCATTTGCGGCAGTATTGGGAGTAGCAGCAGAAGCAGAAGAACGGCCAGCAGTACGACTGATAATAAAATACTGCTACCAATATTCGTCCCGATACTGCACTGTTACACCATCACTACCCAGGAGCAAGCTAAACTTGGCAATATTACACGTACAGAACTTGGCCATAGCTTGAGTGTCACATGTCAGTCGAACGCAGGTACGCCTTAGGTGAATCTCATCTGTTAGCAGGTCTATCTAGTACGTGAACGAGCACTCGTATGTTGTCGTAATAGCAATGCCATATTATATAATTATACAGCCACAGTCACATGTAACCAGTACAAACGCGCCGCCACCATATCCACCGCCCCAGAAAAAAAAAACGTACATACTGAAGCTGGCAGGGAACAGAAAAAACACCGCCACCACCACCAAGCTCAGACGTCCAATCTATTGAATCATCAATCTCACCCCGTCACCTTGACATCCAGCTCCAGCTCCATCATCCAGCTCTCCATCCTTCCTACCCCTCAGCTTTTCTAGCCGAAACGCCCTCATCAAACTAGGTGACATGTCGGCACCACGTAAACGCACAGTACACCAGCTCGATACGCCATACTCGACAGATCTATGGTATGACATTCTCTTATGTCTCCTCTCCGTATCTCTTTCTTTCTTTTTTCTTCTTGTCCTCTCCCTACTGACCGTATTGAAAAAAAAAATCAAGGCCGGAAATTACATTGGAAGACCAAGAAACCATTCTAGAACTTCTATGCAGGTAAGCATTGACCATGCTGAGCTCTCTTTAGGGGTGGGGGGGGGGGGGGGGGGGGGGGGGGGGGGGGGGGGGAGCATTGAATTGACATTTAGAAACAGTTTCCTCAGCCCTCTAGGTCATCATCGTCGCACACACGTGATTCCATCAAAGGGCAAAAAGGCGTCGAGGCAGAAACGTAGACAGCAGCGGGACGGAGAGAAAGATGATGCCGCCGTGGCCCCCTCGCCACCTGCTGCCCCCGACGTCATCCACAGTGTAGATGTTGGCTTCAACGCGATATCGAGGAATCTACAACTTCAGTCTGAGGTTGGCGACAGCAAGTCAAAGCAGAGGAAGGATAGGTGCTACGCCATGGTCTTTGTGGCCAGAGGGGACCAGTCGTCCGTTTTCAACTGCCACTTCCCCCGTATGGTTGCCGCCGCCGCATCCAGCGGGAATGCTGGCGGCAAGGCCGGGACCAGGCTCGTCGGCTTCTCCAAGTCGTGCTCAGATCGGCTGAGCAAGTGTCTCCACATTCCGCGGGTGTCGTCCGTCGCCGTCGCCGTCGATGCCCCCGGGGCGACGGCCCTGCTGGAGACGGTGAACAGGATAGTCCGGCCGCTAGACGGTATCGACTTGTTGAACGGTCAGCAGAGGCAGCCGCAGTATATACCGACCAAGATCAATGCGATTGAGACCACGGTGGGACAAAAGAAACAGAAAAAGGCTGCATGAGGGCCGACGGTGGCTCCTGTTCACATCGGCTCATCATCATATACCCACCGAGATTGAATAACGATGCAAAATGTCTTGCTTTATTCTATTCAAAACGAACCAAAATCTCGAAACAATCTAAGAAGTCTTTTTTGATGCGCTGAAGGGTGTGTAAAAAAAAAGGAGGGGAAATAGATCATGGCTGTGAAAACTCCAAACTCCGAAGATCCTTGACGTGAGAAAGAAGGGAAAACAACAGAAAGGAAACAACACATCTCTAAACGGAATGACCTGTACATCCAGCTCCCTCTCCTCAGCTGCTGTCAAACGGGCAAAATAGATAGATGCACAGGTGGCAAAGCAAGACTCAATGGTGGTGATGCCCAATCTGCGTCAGAAGAGGCAGAAACATACCCATGACAGTCATGAGCGTCTCTCTCATCTGCGGACCGGTGGGCTTCCTCTCGGCGTACCCGTCGCCATTCAAGATGGGACCATCATGGTGGTGGTGGTGATGCCCATGGGATCCAGGTCCAGATTCCTCCTGCATAGCATGCATGGCAACGTACCTAGATAGTAGTCAAGTCAGCCCTTTTTTTCTACTCTTTCCCCTTCTTCCATGTTCTCGTTTTCCTCCCTTTTTTTTTTCGGTTCTCCCGGGGTCAGGTGGACTTACAAGAATGTCCCTCCGGAGAACAACAAGAGCAGTCCAGTCCAGTAGGTAGACGCACCGCCGTCACCCTCGACGACCGAGGAGCCAGCCTCGGCCAGCGTGACGAGAAACCAGGTGGCTATGGCGCCGACGGGAGCGGCCAGGCTGAAGACGACCAGGTGGCTCCTGGAAGCCCTCTTGGACAGGCCCTGGCGTAGCAGGAGCGAGGTGAGGCCGAAGGCGGCGGGGGCCTTGTGGATCATGATGGCCGTGAAGATGACGAAGCTCATCTTTGTGTCGGGCGACGTGGCCGAGGCACCCATGGCAATGCCGTCGGCGGCTGCATGGATGACCAGCCCGAGGGTCGTGGCCATGTGACGGGACCCACGCTGCGCCGAGGAGGCCACTTGGCCTAGCAGGCCGTCCATGTGATCGGCTTCGAGGTCGCCGCTGCCCCGGCCGCTGGCGCCGCCGTTGCTGCTCGTGCTGCTGCTGCCGGGGATGACGCCGCCGCCGCCGCCGCCGCCGCCTATGCCCAGGCTGTCCAGGCTGACGTGGTGCATCTGCGGTGTGGACGACTGCATGCGCTGCGCGGCGTGCCGGGGGATGCGGTCGATCAGGAACATCAGGACGAAGCCGAGCGTCATCGACAGGCCGATCTGGAAGGACGGGAGCTCGTTGTGCCCCTCCTCTTCCTCCTCTTCTCCGTCGCCGGCAGCAGGCTGGAGGTGGTGGTCGTACTCCTCATCGTCGTGAGGTAGTTCCTCTCCTACTCCTCCCACTTCTTGGCCTTCATCCTGTCGGGCGTCGTGTACTTTGGTCGTCGTCTTCGCCAGGGAAATCCGCGCCGCGGGGACCGAGGGGATGAGGTCGTCGATGCGAATATCGAGACCCGGGTTCCTCGCAGCTAAGACGCTACGCGATCGGTGGATGTGCGACGTCGTCGATGGGGCCGAGGCGGCGCCGATGCCCTCCGGGATGATGACAATCAGCGACGTCCCGACCAGGACGCCGACGCCCAGGCTAGATATCAGGCGGAGACGCGACGACGTGAGGGACATGGAGAGCGGTAGAGCGCCAGCCAAGAAGGACCTGCAATCAGAAGATGGATGTTGATGTTAGCCCGACCGTTATTCTAGGATCGCCCGTCCATCACCCGCGTTGGTTGGGTGGATCTCTATTTAAGCACGTACGCCAATGCCATGACGGACTGATTCCAACTGTCAGCAAAAGTCGTCCATGTTCAATTGAGGAGGGGCCACGAAGGAGACGGAAAGTTGGGATCGTACGCATAGCACCAGTAACAGAATGAACCCTCCCATGGTGTTCCTATTTATCGGGAACCGTGTGTCGATGTGGGTGGAAAAGCAGCACCAGCGATCTATACTGTACTATTCCTCCCAACCCATGGCAAGGCTCAGCTAGAGAAGGAAGGGAAGGCAATAGGAAGTGAGAGAAGAAGAAGAAGGGGCAGGTTTTGCTTTGGGGGTCTTTTTTTTGGATTCCCTTTTTTTTTTTTTTTTTTTGGCCTTTGATCCCTTGGGAGGCTTAGGATTCAGGTGTACAGACACGAGTACGGCAAGGTTAACCATTCGATGTTACGAGTTTGGAAGGGCCAGGAAGGGCCAAGAAGGCTGGGGATTTGGTTGGTCGAGGTCTGATGACGAGGCCCAGCGATTGCGAAATACCGCGTACCTGTCTGGACCTGCCCGAGTGAGAAGGTACACTGTGCCAGTATTTCTATCGGGGCATCATTCCATGGTCACAAAGTGGTATTCACACACCACACGGCGGATCACGGTCCATTCTTCACTCACCTACGTTCCATCTGATGGTTGACTGACTACTGGCATATAAGACCATAGGCATCGATGGCAATACTGCATGTAGCCTTCCAACTCGCAATACTACTCCATACTACTCTGCTGTGTGACCTACCACGATATTATCAGGCATGATTGCAGCGGAAACGGGCCAGGACTCGGAATACGAGCATGCGCTGGTATTACTAATAATTTACACATATTAGACCCCTGAATGGTACCTCGTACAGCCTCTGGTGGGGCGTATGCTCGTACATGCATCTGATGCAACGAACCCCGTCTCCATGACACACCACGACGTTTCATCATACCAAGCTTTGCTCTTCCTTTTCCCTCATCTCTGTAGTTTCATACGACGGGTACCTCGAACGAAGCCATGAGCGATGCACAACATTCGCCCCGTCGGCGACATATCCTGTCGTCCATAAATCCAGAGGCAGCAGGGGTGGAAGCAGCACCAGAAGAAGACCGACCCCGACGTCGACGACGTTCGCGAAGCCCATCCGAGGCCGACGATCGGCGGCAGCACAAGCAACATGCCTCCACCACCAACGAGGACGACGGCGACACCACGCGGCCCCGGCGGTCCCGTCTGAGGCTCAAAGATGCCTCGCGTAGACGTCGGCACCGATCGCACAGCCGCGAGAAACAAGCCGGTCAGGACCGACACCACCACCATGGACATCGTCGCCACCGGCGCCACCGCTCTCCCACGCCGCCCAACCCGTTTGACGGACCCCCTCTCGACGCGGAGACGGCGTTCCGTGAATCGCTCTTCGACGCCATGGCCGACGACGAGGGCGCAGACTACTGGGCGGCGGTGTACGGGCAGCCGGTGCACGTGTACTCCAACGAGCGGGCCAACCCGCAGGGCGAGCTGGAGCGCATGACGGACGACGAGTACGCGGCGCACGTACGGCAGCGCATGTGGGAGAAGACGCACGCGGGGATGCTGGAGGAGCGGGCGCGGCGCGGAGAGGAGAGGCAGAGGCGGCGCGACGACGAGCGCAGACGGCGTCGCCACCAGCGCGACGTGGACGAGAGCCTGCGGCGGGGCGACGAGAGGCGCAGGCGCAGACGCTGGGCCGACTCCTGGTCCGCGTACCAGGCCGCGTGGGCCGCGTGGGATGGTACGCCCGGCAGTCTGGCCTGGCCGCTCGGGAGGGGGCGGCCTGGCGATGACGGCATCAGCCCCGACGAGGTGCGCATATTCATGGTGCGCGGGCTGAGATTGGATGAGGGGGAAAACATGGCGGCTCCTTCTGCTGCTGCCGCTGCCGCCGCCCCCGCCCCCGCCGCCGCCGTGGCACGCCTCAAGGATGAGCGCGTTAGGTGGCACCCTGACAAGATTCAGCAGAAGGCGCGTGGGGAGGTGGATGATGCTACGATGAAGAATGTCACGGCTGTTTTTCAGGTCATCGACCGGTTGTGGGGGGAGTTACGGCCCAAGGATTAAGTTTTGATACCCCGGTTCTTCATGTCTCATTTACTTCTCTTTTCTTCTTTCTCTTTTCTTCTTTCTTTTTTCTTCTTTTTTCTTCTCTCTTTTTTCTTCTCAGTTAATTTTCGATTCATCGCATGGAGCAGGAGTTAGGCGGAGTAGGCAAGGCAAGGCAAGACAAGGCAAGGCAAGGCAAGGCAAGGCAAGGCAAGGCAAGGCAAGGCACGGGGAAGGTGAAATATATGAAGGGTATTTCATCTTTCTTGAATCGTAAAAAAAAAAAAAAAGGTATATATATATACAAAGAAACAGTGATGGCAAGAAACGGTGCTTTGTTGCCGCTAAGGGAGAAGAATGACCATTACAGGTTGGCAAACATGGCCAGGCCACCAGCCAGACCCAGCAGAGCGACGCTAACGGCAGGCACGACACCGGCACTGTCACCGTCGTCGTTGTTGTTGTCGTCGCCGTTGACGCTGCTCGAGGCAGAGGCGGCGGCGGCGCTGGCAGAGCTGATGGCCGCGTCGCGCGAGCTCTCGGCGGCGGCGAGGGCGGACGAGGCGGACTCGGCAGCGCTGCCGGTGGCGGTGGCGGCGTAGGAGCTCGCCTTGGCGATGTACGAGTCGTACTTGCTCGTGACCGAGGCGGCAATGTCGGAGTACTTGCTCGCGTAGTCGCCGGTGAAGGTGGAGAAGACGCCGGCGACCTCGCTGCCGATGTTGCCGGGGACGGAGGTGATGGAGTCCCAGGCGTCGCCGATGGCGCTGCCGGCCGACTTGACGCTGTCGCTTGCGTCGGAACCTGCTGACTTGATGTCGTCGCCTGCGGACTGGACGTCGTCGATGACGTCGGCCTGGTTTGAGGGTTGGTCAGCATGTCTCGTCTGGCTCTTCTCCTCTTCTCCTCCTCCTTGGACTGAGCACATACCTGGACCAGGGCGATGAGGCCGGCAATAACAAGAGGAGAGAACTTCATGTTGGATGTATTTGTGTGTGTATATGTTTAGTTGTTGATGTTTGGATTGGAAGATGATGTATCGTATGGTTGGATAGAGAGAGAGGGAAGGGGGAGGAGGTGATTCTAAAACGAGATGAGGATGGGGATGTGTCTCCGTATTATAAACAATTCAAATACAATGAGGGAAACTGTGAGTAAATAGTAATGACGAGCGTCGAGGAACACTAGTACAAGTACGAGTACGTGTAGAGTCTAGCTGTTTTTTTTTTTTTTTTTCCTTTTCTTCTTTTTTTTTTTTCTTTAAAATTAATAAAACATGCATTGACCGTGTGTGTCTACCCCCTTGTCAAGGCTGTGCAGTGACTCGTGAGAGGCTGAGAGAGGAGGGGACCATGTCACCGTACGCGAAGAGACGGTCACGATCAACAACATAATAACGTGTACAGGTTAATCTGTACTCCGTACTCCGTACTCCGTAATACTCCGTACAGAGCTATGGATCCCTGCATTCTCGCCGGTGGTGATCGCTGATCAATTCTGCCCCAATTCTGCCCCAATCCGTGCTAGTCAGGATGATTTAGCCAGCCTAGTATACGGAGTGATACATGTACAAGTAATCTGTACTGTAATGTACGATTCACGGTATAATACGGGATACTACGGCCTAAGAGCTGTACGGGTAGACTGTCGTTCTGTAGGATCCAGTACATTGGCAATGTCTAGGTACATACATGTATCGGTGACGGAGAGAATAGCACAGGTACTACTCCGTAACCACGAAGCCTAGAAAAAATTAAACCCAGATAAAATAAGAGTTCCCGAACAAGCTGAAGATGCCCCTCATAAGCCCCGTAGTCGCGTAGAGAAATAAGTCTCTTGGCAAGAGACGGGCGGAGCTGCCGATAGATGCATCATGTATCAGAGCCGCGGCACGGCCCCAGCCACAGAGCACAGCAGCGCTGCTTGACTCCTGCTTGACTCGGGGGAGGGGGGGGGTTTGTATGTGACTGTCGCTGAAACCAAACAGTCGTACATATGAAACCCTTTTTTTTTTCTTCTTCTTCCTTTTCTTCTCTTTTTGCATTGACTTGAACAGCATGATGCACGCGCGAATACATGTGCACTGCCTGTCTACGAGTAGACTAGCTCATAACCTGTCGATGGTACATAGGTAATATTTCTGTCCCTGACCAAGGTGTTTTGGGTTGAAATGACGGCGACCGGGGAGGAGGGGCTGGTAAAGAACTAAGGATTATTACTCGTACATGTATGTGTACGAGGAATCCGTACAGAGTACGGAGTACGCAGAATCCTCTCGTCCAGAGACCCGTTCCCGTAGAGCGCTGTGATGATACTTTGTGGAAGCGAGGGCAGGGGAAGATACCCGAGAGCCGAAATATATTCCTACCATGGGCTGGTATTATTACCATCGAGAGGTAAAAAGCTGCAGCATCTCCATCAGACCCTATCCCGTAATTGATGATCACTGTATCCCGTACAAGGTGTCTAGGAGCTTTACCCCAGAAGAAAGCAATCACCTGACCTCGACTTATCCCATCTGACACTAAAATGACGTAATCCAGACGGGCCCAGGGGGGAAGGGGGGGGGGAGGGGGGGAGAATAGTCAGCCACCCTCAGCCACCATGCCAAGCCACACCCGTCAACGCTCCGTACACGTATTACTCGTACACGTAGTCTGTAATCTGTACAGCCTACAGTCTCGTACTCGTTACTGCAGAATAGTATGTCAACACATTGGAATACATAATATTCATCCACATGGTTCTACCGGTCTAGAACAGCACACGAGCAATAATACTATAGGAACTATATTTTTCTTCTTCTTGTGAGACTCGTTGGAGATGCTTACTCCGTACAGATCGAGTCTTGGAACTTAGCCTTACAGATGTACGGGTACACGCACTACTTACTCATGCATTAGTGCCGAGCCCGAGCCCCCCCCCCCCTCATCATGGCGGTGTACCTGTATCGGTATGTACTTGATGCATACTGCGGTAAGGATTTCTATTATTAAACTACGGCTTTGTTGTTATTAGCATCGATGCTCTGTAGACTGTATGTGTACACGTCATAAGACAGCTTGTGCTTAGACAGGTTACCGCATGTGACCAAGATTAGGACAGGAACATGGTGGATTGTTCCTTCACTGCTTCACCTGCTGGTACCCCGATCCGTCTCATCCCGCCACCATCCTGGCAGTTGTCTTGTGCCTCTCCCGAGTTTAGAAACAGGACAGAGCCTCAGGTCGTCATCGAGCCGAGACGCGAATGGGTCATCCGAGCATCATGTGCGGGGTATGAGATCTAGACCCCTACACCTCTCTATACGGCGATATCCCCGTCTTGAGAGCCTGCACAATCTCTGCCGCCTCCCCCGCACCTCTCGTCTCGAAATCATACCGCTTACTCTCCGTAGCTTTGTATACCACCAACTGTACTCTGCGTTAGCGATGTCATTTCAGCCCGTATCCCATGCTGAGCAACGGAAGACATGAAGAAGAAGGAGGAGGAGAGGAGGAGGAGGAGGAGGAAGAGATGCCAGGGATGGCATGAGGGGGGTCGAGACATACTTTGACGTTCGTAGGATGCTTTCTCGGCACTTTACATCCAATGACATTGCTAAAGTGTACCGTCGTCGTCTTCCCGCCACCCTCGACGAGGGCCCTTCCCCCTGAGGCAGGCACGATATGGATATACTCGCCGTCGATGACCAGGATCCTCTCGCTCAGCCCGACGATGCGCATCGGCTGCTTCCGCCACACCGTGTACTTTTTGTAGTTGGCATTGCCCAGCTCGTCCTGCTTGGCAATCTCTCGCGCGAGCGGGTGCGGGCCCAGCATCTGACCCTTCCTGACCTTACGGTGCGGCTGGCCGCCGATGCTGCCGCCCCCGCCCCCGCCCCCGCCCCCACCGCTTCCGTCGCCGCCCATGCCGCTGCCGCCTATGGCTCCGGGGACGCTGCTGCTGCCGATGACGCCTGCGTTGACGCTGCCGCCGCCGCCGGCCATGGCCGCTACCTTGGGCGACGTGCTGCTCGGCGAGCCCGTCATGGTCAGCGGTCCGTCCGTCGCGAACCGCCGCCTGTACAGTTCCAAGTCCGACACGTTGCCGATCGACGACACGGGCCGGTCGATCATGACGACCGCACCCGAACCGGGGAGCTTGAGCACGTGGTTGCCCTTGTCCAGCTGCCGCTTGCTGCATACCACCTCTAGCACCTCGGCCAGGTACGTGTCCGTCGTCACGTCCACCGTCACCGTCTGGCCTGGTGCTGTGTCGGACAGCATCATGTGGATCCGCAGGAGCTTCTGCTGGCCCCGCATCGTGTTCACCGTCGTTGGTGGCATGGCCGGCTTGTCGGCCAGCGGCGTGTTGGGTCGGTACGTCGTCGTGAGGATTGGGTTCATCCGTGGCCGGTCCGACGGCACCGTCATCGAGTTTCCCCCCGCACCGCCCTCCCCGTCTACCGGAGCTGCCGTTGTCGGTGCCGCCGACGCCGTTGCTGGCGTTTGCGCCTTCAGTTGCTGTGCGCTCTGCTCGTCCTCCTTGCTGCCCTGCTGCTGCTGCTCCTCCTCATCCTCTTCCGGCGTGACCTGCTTGTTCTCCTCGAACTCGTCCGCCGACGCCTCCACGAGGGCAAATTCGTCGTAGGCCGTAGAATTAGACCGCATCCTACCGCCGCCCCTCATGTTGGCGTTGTTGACCGTGGTGAACGAAGACAGCGGCTTCGTCCTCTCAAACGGTGGGAAATCGTCGTCCACCTCGCCGCCCTCTTCGACCATCCTGAGCGTCCACCAGTTGACGTTGAGCCTCTCGGGCCGCAAGGAAGGGTCCCTCTTCTCCTCGTTATAGCGGTAGAGACTGAGACCGATGAGGTCGACCACGGTGACGACGCGCTCGACATTCTGGCCATCCTGCACGCGCGGCCGGATGAGCACCTCAAACGACTTGCCAGGGTCGTCTGAGAAGGCCGGGTAGACGCGCACGGCGATGGACCCGCGCGTGCCCTGTCCGCTCAGGTGGGCAAATTTCTGGAATGGTATCGACGGCTTGTTCTCCCTCGCCTTGAGGGCCGCCGACAACAGGCTCTTGGGCTGCATGACGCTCATCGGCCGGATCGTGCTCATCGGCCGCGGCGGTGGCAGGGCCTCCAGCGGCAGGTGCTTGAGCGGCAGCTGCGACTTGCGGATCGTCGACTGCCGCATGTAGTTCTTGGGCGGCGTCCCGACAACCTGCCGCGTAGGCGACGTGTTGACCGGCGTGTCCGCCACGTCCAGGATGGACGCCGAGTCGATGCTACCCACATAGTCGCCCGACATGTCAGACCCTTCGTCCGAGTCCTCGTCGTCGTCGTCTTCTTCCTCCTCCTCCTCCTCCTCGGGCAGCAGCGATGTGTCGGCCCTCTTGATGCCTTGTAGGGGCTCCTCCTCCTGGATCCTATCCTCGAGCCTTGAACCTCTCCGCACGCCAGACAATATCCTCGTCGCCGCGTCATTCTGGCGCTGTTGCTGCAGGCTGTCCATCTCGTTGTCGGATGATATCTCGCTGCTGGTGACCGTGTCTCTACGCGGGCGATTCTTGACCGCCCCCATGGCCGAGTGGGATCCGCGTCGACGCGAACGGGGCGAGGGCGCCGTTGGCTGTTGCCTCGCGTTGATGGCCGACGACTGTATCGGAGACGACCCTGCCCTGTGCCGCACAGGCATCTTGGCAAACTTGATCTGCTGCACCGCCCGCTGGTCCGACTCGTCCTCGCTCTCGTCGCTGAGATCGCTGCTATCGTCCTCCTCCTCCATCTGCTCGCGCCGCCTGCGGCGCTTCGTAGCTGCCGTGCCCGGGCCGATGGTATCGGCACCGCCACCCGTCAGCATTCCCGCCCCATCTCCATCCTCGTCTCCTTCCTCGAGCGTGAAACCCAGCCGGCGCGGTGCCTGGAAGTATTCTGACGCAATGGCCGTCGGAATCGGGGGCGAGTGCGTGCGCTTCGCGTGCGACGAATCGGGGCGCCAGCCGGCGGCTTTGAAGGCCGGCGAATTGACGTAGCCCTCGTTAACTGTTAGGAGGCGCTCGCCCACGCCGTCGGCAATCTCGTCGAGGTAGCTCGTGCGAAGCTGGTATGAAACGAGCCTGGGAGTAGCAACGTCAGCCTGCGGACTCTCGAAAAATAAGAGGGGTTTGGGGAAACGTACTCCTCAACCTGGATGACAGACATGGTGGAAATGTGAATACAGGATGATCAAATCCCACTGCTCGTATGTCTGTTCCCAAAAATGCTACATGCACACTATGACACCACCGCACATGATAGGAAAGAGATGCGATGGGAGTGACAGACCGTTGATCGGAGTTGTATGAGGGAGACTGTGGGGTAACAGCCAGCGCCAGTGCTGCTTGCTGATCTGATAAACGTACAGGGGGGGTACGTATTTCCTTTTTTTTTTGGCTGGCATGCTGCAGCTTCGCCGCCCGACGTCACAATTCATGCAAACCATCACCTATTTTTCGTAAAAAAATTTATCCCTTCACCATCAAACTCCCCGGGAAGAGCTCCGTCGTAATCATGGGTCTCGTCGACTATTCAGAATCCGAATCCGAGTCAGAATCGCCTCAGCAGACCCCAGTCGCCAAGGCACCACCCGCCGTCACCGCCGCGGCACCACCATCCAAGAAGCCCTTCCAGAAAGTCGTCGACCGATCCAGGCCAGGCAAGATTGTTGTCAACCTACCGCAGGAGACAGCCTCAAAATCCGACGAACCACCTACCAAGCGAGCTCGGACTGGCGCCTCGGAGGGCGGTCGCTTCTCCGGGTTCAACTCGTTCCTCCCGCCGCCCAAGAATGCCGGCAAGAAGCCTGCTGCTGCTGGCCCCTCCGCGGGTAAACCGCGCCCAGGTATCAACCTGCAGACGAGCGCGGCTCCAGGATTTAACAGGGATGCCGGCGATGATGTTGGTGAACCGCAAGGGGGCTCTGCGCCGCCTCCGAAGCAGGCTGAGCCGTCGGTGCCGGAGGAGCAGAAGCCAGCCGACCAGGTCAAGCTCGTTGGGAAGCCCATGATGTTCAAACCGCTGTCCGTATCGAGGAACAAGAAGAAGGCGCCCAAGACGACAGCCCCATCATCGGCCTTGGCAGCAACAGCTCCGTCGCCGTCGTCTTCGGTAACAGCATCTATCACAGAACCTTCCGCATCGGCCGTGGCGGCCGCACCTCCACCACCCAAGAAAATTCCCCTCTTCTCGATGCACACCGAAGAGCCATCAGAGACGCCGTCGTCCAGCATGTATGAGCCGCTCTTTGTAACACAGCAACAACAGCAAGAAGCCTCGCACCAGCAGCCCCTGGAGGGTTTCGACTACACACAGCAGCAATACGGAGGCGGCAGCGCAGAGTCGGGCCCTGCACCCACTCCGGGCGGCGAGTCCCTGGACAGCATAGCCAACGACCTCAACCTGTCGGCAGCTGAGAGACGGCAGCTGTTTGGGCGCAGCGGCGGCGACGTGCAGGCGGCCAAGAGGGTCATCAACTTCAACATGGACACTGAGTACAGGCACAACGAGGAGATCCGCGCGACAGGCGAGCAGCAGATCCACAACCCTGTAAGGGCCATACAGGGCAGCGGCAAGCACAACTTGCGACAGCTTGTGCAGAATGTGCAGAACCAGCGGGAGGCTCTGGAGGATAGCTTTGCCAAGGGCAAGTCGAATCGCAAGGAGGCATCGAGTAAATACGGGTGGTAGGCTGAGCACAACACATGTGGATGTAATAATGAATCAATCGAATAGGGGGGTTTTTGACCCGTGAGTACCACCATATACTATGAAAGAGAAACGATCGTTGTAAGATTCCAGGGAGCCAAACTAAACGCAAAGAAGAAGAGGTCACCAGGCCTCCACCGGAGCCGTCTTTCCACTCTTGAAGGCATCGTCCACCATGAGAATTCTCCATTCGCCCCTCGTAGTCGGGGAGAGCGTATCGTGGCCACCCGGTGTCGCAAGCGCCGGCGCAGGGGTCAACGCATCAGCTGAGAGAACGTCGTCGATGGAAAAGGGGTACGACGGCTGTATGGCCAAGGCCACCGAATCCGGTGGTTCGTCGTCTTCCCCCCCGGCAGCCCTGGCAGTAGAATCCGGGCTGTTACCGAAGCTGGTACGCAGCTTGAGTGCCGGTTTTGCAGGCGTGCCGGCTCCCACGACGATGGGCTCGCTGTGCCGAGTCGCCGTCTTGCTGCCGCCATCCTGTCCCTCGGCAGGTAGGGGGCCGCTCCGGCTTCTACCCTGGCAGGTTGAGGAGGTGTACCCGGTACCCGGCATGGACATGACACTCACGCCGTACTCCCTCTTATAGTTGCGGTCCAGGTCGTCCACGGCCGACGACGGCACGCCGAGCCAGCCGTACGCCTCAAGCAGGTCATCCCTGGCAACCTTGTCCTTGCCTCGGTCCGAGAGACGGTGCAGCTCGTCGACGGCGTCCTCCATGCGCAAAGGTGACCTGGTCCGCGAGTAGGACGCCAGCGCGGCCTTGACGCTATACATCCCATCCAGGGCGAGCAGAGTGAGTCCCTCAGACGAGAAGAGCGTGTCGTACTGCGCTATAGAGCTGTACATGACGTCGTTGGGGGGGCCGTATGCCTGAGGTCTCTTGGGGAGGCATAGCCAGCCGCTTGTTTTTTTTTTTCAAAGGTGAGTACTATGCCACACTCAGAGTAGAGAGGGAAATGGCTGGCTCACGACATGTCGTGCTCACGTTGGACTTTGATGAGGGCGTCATGAAGCCTTTCAGACTCGATGGGCTGTAGACCCGTGAGGTGCATGAGGCGGATGCCGTATGTGCCGGCGTCCCTGGGCTTGGTCGTCGACCTGGGCCGCGTCAGCCTCTCCAGTATTGATAATGGAGACTTGGAGACCTGTTCCTGCGGCATTATCTGGTAGTCCCGGCGGAGGACGACGAGGGTCACATGCTGGGATTGACGGGCGAGGATGGCTGATGCCTGACGGAGGGGTGGGATGAAGTGAGGGGGAAGACTGCGGGCGTCCGGAGGTGTCCATTTGATCCCTTCGTCATACATTGTGTTCTTCTTGTCTGGTAAATCCTGAGCCCATGCCTCAGGGCCTCTTCATAAGACAGGAGAGGTGTCCCGATATATGAATGCCCCATTCTTGTCCATGACGGTGGTGTTGGTGCTGATGATGGTACCACGGGGATGACAAGACTTCTATTTTTGCTCCTCCCCACTCCGTCACAATGCTCTGATACAGGAACAGAAATGAAGTCTTCTTCTTCCCTCTAGAAAGTGCCTATTTCGGCAACCAATAGTATCTATAATTAAACCACGCCATGATTCCCAGGGGGGTTTACACGTATAGATCCCATGATCCCCAAGGTGTAAACCAACCTTCTGCGTAAGCTATACCAGTTCAGTTACCTCTATACATTGAGCTTGCGTTGCACAAACTACATCATGACAGATTCCAAAAAAAAAGAAACAGAACGAGTTCCCGCTGGGGGGGGGGGGGGGGGGGGGGACAGGAAGAGGGTAGGTAGTAAGAGCAGATGGACCAGGACATCCTATCAATAGTATGAGCCAAACATTGCCTTGATCTCTCATTTTCTCTTTCAAAGTCTTCCCCGTTAGTATCATTCAAGAGATGTTAATCTAGAGTGGGACAACGTGAGTTCAGTCGTACACGCACAAGAGATATTGGATATCAAGAGATTTCCTGGGGGTATTACTGTGTGTGACTGTGTGTTACCTACATCGACATTTTGATGCTATTTCCGGATCATGACAAAAATAGATCCAAGGAAATGAGTGGTAGTACGAGTGGGCGAGAAAGAATGGAGGCGAATAAAATCTAGCATGGTTTGTAACACTTGGGAAATGTGCTTTCTTCTCTTCTACCTGCTTCTTTTCATGGTGATATTAACTAACATTCACATTCTCACCGAACCATGACCCATGGGGGTGGGAATGAGTTGAGTGGCGTCAGGGGTCCCTATTCATGATTATAATCATGGAATAAACGCAGCATGCAAGGCACCAGGAGAATGAGACGGAAATAGACAACGGGCGATGTGATCGTAGTAAACTTTCTTTGAATTGTTTTTTTCAGGTCCTGGGAAGAATTTCTTGGTTTTAACTTTTTGCCCCATGCCAGGGGTGATGATATATGGAGAACATTTGAGCAACATGTTTTTCAAAATGAGCAAAACAGAAACGACAGCAATAACAATAGCAGCAATGTTACCATTGCAATGGGTCGCTCTTGACCTCGCCCCTATTTGTTTTCGGCACGGGCACAGCCGCGATCTTGACGGGGCCTGTACGCTTGAGGTAGCCCGACCCGTCAAGCCAGGGGGTGATGCGGGTGCGGCGTTTCTCAAACGAACGAATCTTGCCCTCGAGCTGAGCCGTCAGGCCAATGTCGTCGAGGCCGTTGATCAGGCAGTGCCTCTTGAAGGGCTCGACGTCAAAGGCCGCTAGTTGCGAGCCGTCGGCGGCGCGCACCACCTGGGCCTCCAGGTCGACCTCGATCTCGCGTCCGGCGCGGGCCTCCTCGGCCACACGCTCCAGGGGCTCCGGTCCCAGCTTTATGGGCAGCATACCGTTCTTGTACAGGTTCGTCTCGTGAATGTCGGCGAACGAGGGGGCGATGATGCAACGGATGCCAAAGTCGAGGAGGGCCCAGGGGGCGTGCTCACGACTCGAGCCGCAGCCAAAGTTGGGGCCTGTCACCACCAGGATCTTGGAGGACCGGTAGGGCTCCTGGTTTAGAACAAAGTCGGGGTTCTCCTTGCCCGACTCGTCATACCGCCACTGGTAGAAGAGGGCAGAGCCCAGACCGGATCGCTTGATAGTCTTGAGGAACTGCTTGGGGATGATGGCGTCCGTGTCAACGTTGGCGCGCTCCATGGGGGCAGCGATACCCTTGAGCTGCGTGAACTTGGCCATGCCGGCCGACGACGAGGGGGCTCCCGTCTTGGCGACGTCGTTCTGATACTCGTCCTCCGGGGCGTCCATCATGCGGTCCAGATCCTCATCCGAGGCCATCTCCTCCATGGCAGCCTCCTCAATCACCGAGATCTGAGGCACCGCAGCCTTAACTGGCGACGCCGAGTCACCTTCGGCGACCTTGCGAACATCAGCCAGCTTGCCGACAATGGCGCAGGCAGCGGCCATGACTGGCGACATCAGGTGGGTCCTGCTGCCAGCACCCTGGCGACCCTCGAAGTTGCGGTTCGACGTCGACGCGCAACGCTCCAGGGGAGCCAGAATATCAGGATTCCTGAGTGGTTGGATTTGTCAGCATAATGGTTTTCTTGAGGGTCGTTCTGGCGCATGATGCACTCTTGACTCACATTCCCAGGCACATCGAGCAGCCAGCCTCACGCCACTCGAATCCAGCATCCACAAAGATCTTGTCAAGACCCTCGCTCTCGGCCATGTCCTTGACCAGGCCGGAGCCGGGGACGATCATGGCACGCTTGACGTTGGGGGCAATCTTCTTGCCCTTGACGATCCTGGCTGCGGATCGCAGGTCCTCAATACGGGCGTTTGTGCAGCTGCCGATGAAGACCTTGTCAATGGGGACGTCCTCGACGCGGGTGCCGGCCGTGAGACCCATGTATTCAAGAGCACGGATACAGGCTTTCTTGCGGTCAGGATCGGTGAAGTCGTCGGGGCCGGGGATGACACCGTTGATGGGAACGACATCCTGGGGAGAGGTGCCCCAAGTGATGGTGGGAGGGATGTCCTTGGCGTTGAGGTAGATCTCCTTGTCAAACTTGGCGCCCTCGTCGGTCTTGAGGGTGGACCAGTACCTGATGGCACGCTTCCACTCGTCGCTGTCGGGCTCGGGGGCCAGGGGACGGCCGCGGAGGTAGTCAAAGGTGATGTCGTCGGGGGCAATCATGCCAGAGCGGGCACCGCCCTCAATGGACATGTTGCAGATGGACATGCGGGCCTCCATGCTGAGAGAGCGGATGGCGGAGCCGCAGAACTCAATGACGCAGCCAGTACCGCCGGCCGTGCCAATCTGTCCAATAACGTAGAGGACGATATCCTTGCTGCTGACACCGGGGGCCAGCTCGCCGTCGACCTGGACCTTCATGTTTTTGCTGCGCTTGGAGATAAGCGTCTGTGTGGCGAGAACGTGCTCGACCTCGCTGGTGCCAATACCAAAGGCCAGGGAGCCAAAGGCGCCATGGGTCGACGTGTGACTGTCACCGCAGACGACTGTGGTTCCGGGGAGGGTGAAGCCCTGCTCGGGGCCAATGATGTGGACGATGCCCTGCCTCTTGTCGGTGAGGCCGAAGAAGGTGAGGTTGAAGTCACGGACATTCTCCTCGAGGGTGACGCACTGAGTACGCGAGTCGTTGTCCTTGATGAAGCTAGAGATGTCCTTGAAGTTGGTACGGGGAGCCGTAGGGACGTTCTATATATGTGAGAGGCATTAGTCAAGGGGGGGGGCTGACGGTTTGAAGGGTTTTCCGTATGGATGCGAGACGTACGTGATCGAACGTGGCCAGGGTGCAGTCAGGTCTCCGAACCCGGCGGCCAGCATTTTTTAGGCCCTCAAAGGCTTGCTGTATACGGGTTAGTGAATGTCGGGTTCGTATGCAAGGGTTCGACTCGGACTGTTAGACGACATACGGGAGATGTGACCTCGTGAACAAGGTGGCGATCTGTAAGCAGCCAAATGTCAGCGGCGAGGACGACAAGGGAGAAACCTTGATATGACGACAGAGCATACCAATGTACAGCAGGATGGTGCCATCCTCCTTTTCGTCGACAGTATGGTCACGTAGGACCTTGTCATAGAGGGTCATGGGGGCTGAGACGGCGCTCGGCATTGTGGGCGACGGTATTGCAACACAACAGGGCTGAAGCTTGTGTGTGTGTGTGTGTGTGTTGACGTGGGGTATCGTAGTGTGGGGGGATTAAAGATGGAGTAGGAAAATTATGGGAAAAGAGAAAAAGGAAGAAGGAACAGAGGGAAAGAGGTGAGAGGAGGGAAAAGAAAGAAAGTCGTCAATATAGTCGTCTTTCCGAAAATGAAAAATATCAATAGAAACCAAAAGGTCCCAATGGTCAAGGAGGTTGCAAGCTTTTAAAATCAAAAGGCAAAGGGGCGACGTCTTTTGTGCAGACCTTGACAAACTCCGGCACCGGGAGTGGCGGACTGGAATAGCAGCAACCGATACCGGAAGTCGCAGGGCCTACGACGCTTCGCTACAGTGATGCCATCGAGGATTCGGTGCCTCCAGGCTTTAGGAATGCCAAGGGGGCCTCCAGTGCCTTCGGGACCACCGAGTACGGGTCTCAGTGGAGGCTGTGTGCTGAACAGTCCTAGGCCAGTGCTAGCTAGTGCTAGGTAATAGGGGTCCAGCGCCTGGAGAAGCTGCCCCAACGAGGCCCGACGAATTGCCGATATCGCCATCAGGCGCCCCTCCCTCTCCAGGTTGGGGGGTCAGCTAGAATCTTTGCCTCGTGATTCGTCTAATCATGTGGAGTTCTGAACTCTCTGTCTCTGTCTTAGCATTGCTAGTCTCTACGGAGAAGGTCAGAGTAGGATCCTCGTAGTATTAGCAGTCAGGTAGTAATGGAATGGGGAGGATAACTTTTCCCTTCGCCCTCGGGAAGCCGAAACCGTGTTTTTCCCCCTCTTTCTTTCCCAAGGCAAGGTGTGTAGCACCTTTGCAAATAATGCCTGCCTCATCTGGTCTGCGCACATATTCGCATGTAGCCTCATCTATCCCAATTTGATGATATGACGATACTGCCTACGAGTACAGGTACAGTACCCAGTAGATGGCGTGCAACATGCTGCACCTCCGTCACCGGATATTGCCAATGATCACCAACAGCTAACATGAATAAGAAGCCAGCTGTATTCGTACCAATCCTGGCGCTGATCCCTATCGTCCTCTCCCCCGCGCGCTGCTAATCGAGCCACGGCCGATACTAAACTACAATTGACGCCATGCCATTGGCAACAACGGAAAATGCCTCTACAAGTGCATCACGGAACATGACCGTGCGTTGCAGCAGACATGTTCATGTACAAGATTACCAGCACGTGAGTATACAGGTACGATATATCTCACCGCCCCCCGACGCCCATCAACCTGCCCGAGTTCATGTTTCCAACGAGAGCCAAGGCAGACCAACGGTGATGTGGTTGTGCGCCATCATCTCACAGTTGCGGATAACCGAAATCCCATCATACACTCACTCTACGCATGTGCGTCTATGTCTGTGTGTCTGTATGTGCGAGTATGCATCGTTGGTAATTGATTGTTATCCCGAGGGGTTCGCCCCCCCACCCACCTCGCCTTGAAACTCACCTCGAAAGTATGGTAATATTACAAGTACAGGTTCAATGCTCAATTCAAATTGATATTGACGTATTACATGTACTCTGCACCATAGTTGTAGGAGTACGACTGCATGTATGTGGTGCATCAATGCGTGAAAATCTGATACCAGCCATGCCATCAATAAATAGCATGGGATAGTAGGATGACTCAGCAGGGAAGCGAACGCCTACGACGTAATGCCACTGCGCAGCTAGTATTGATACTGATAGACTCTGCTCATAGACCGCTTGTAGTGCAATAGTTAGAGCTACAATTGTTAAGGAGTGTAAAAGTATACCAATATTATCACATACTACTCGTACGCCTTCCATAACTCTGACTGGACAAGACACTGATGTCCCACGCAACCACTTGCCCTCGTCTCAGATGCCACTTGTTTTTAGAACAAAGCCAAAAACATAACACAGAGTACGTCGCACTATCTCCCCCGGCGGATGAATACGATGTCGATCAGGTTAATCAGCAGGCAGATTGCAGGGTAACTAAGCGTCATTTCAACGCTCCAAGTTTGAACAAATTGAACGGTATTATTATTATTTGGCAGCTGACTCAGCCTCGACAGTCGACGACAGTTGCCAGTTGCCTGTTGATGGTGGTGGAGCCCTGTGCATCGGGAAGGCGCTGCTTGACTAGTAGAGTAGGCTAGTATGTGGTGGGAAAGATGTCAGCAGAGCTGTACATATTTCCCTCTCAAACAGTTCAAACAGCCCAAGAGACACCCGAAACAACTCCCGATTGATGATGCATATGGTAAAGGCCCTCCCCCTTGAGACGAACATGCGCACAGCTCTCTTTCCTATTGAAGTCTAGTTCCTTTCCCTCCTACACTCCCGAGCCTAAGCCCGAGACTCGGTTGATGCTGATTGACCAGACCAGCACTGGCGCTTGCATCAAACTCCACCACCGGTCCCGTCGTTACTGCAATAGTCAGCGTGTCTCCCAACCGTCTTCGTCGTCGCTACCAAAGGACTCCCAACTTCCCTCCGGACTCCGAATATCCCACGTCTTGCTGATGGTAATATCTAGACAGCAACTCGCTACGTGGTCATTTGTGCCTACCATCACCACTCGAGCTTTCCCTTGAGCGTGCTCCCATCTCACGTGGTTACGACGAAACACCAAACTTTCAACCTGCCCCCTCTCCTGGCGCCGCACACACCCCCCCCCCCCCCCCCCCCCCCCCCCCCCCCCCCCCCCCCCCCCCCTCCCCCTCTCCCTTCGCTGGAACCCGCTTCCCGAGACCCTTTTCGTTCGCCCTCAATAATTCAATAATATATCGACTGGAGCCTCTGTGTGTCTGATATCAAATGCCCTTCTCATCGTCACCCCCTTCGCTTCCCATCGCCACTACCTTCGACCTTTGCATACCCCTTTCGGATCCCTAGCCAAGCAAAAAAAAAAAAGTTGGCCTCTTTCCATATGTCGACTTGACCTGTCCCAACATCTACTCTCGCTCAACTCATTCCAGCTTTTTTTTTCTTTTTTTTTTTTTTTTTTTTTTCACGACACACTGGACATTCTCCCTCAACCTCATTGACTCGGCATCGGTCCATACTGAGCAGACCCTCGCGTATTCTCGACGCTGACCTGGCGAGTCGCTTCCCCCAGCTGAGTCGGCACATCTGCTCCGGCGACGGACCCGTCGCTCCCGCTCGCAATCCATGGCAGGCCAACAACGACCCATGGGCTTCTCCGAGAGGCGAGGGAGTACTCTCAGCGACGAGCTGACACTCGACATGTCGCCAACCGTGGCCGACCCTAGACTGGACAAAATGTCACAGTCCCGGCATCTCAGGGGACCCCCGACCCCTAGCATGTCGACACCTGCAGCCGATCTGGATCAGCAGGTCACCGGCTCTCCGCCTCCGCCGCCGACCCCCGCCGCTTCTCCGGGTCCATCACACTGCCAGCCGGACTGGAGTGACGCCGCCGATGATGAAGACTTCTTCCTCGCAAAGGTCCGCCAACACTTTAAGAACAGTTCCGCCCCTCAACGCACGAGAATATTGGCCGACCTCCTCAACCTATGTACAAGCCCTCAGCTCAGCTTTGTCCACCAGTTTGTCAGCCCTCTCTTGAAAAAGGATCCCTTTACAAGTCTTCCCAATGAGCTATGCCTACGTGTGAGTGAAGAGCAGCCCCTCGATCAACATTGTGTTCCATGGATGATGGCATTCTAACTCCCTCTATAACAGATCTTGTCCTTTATTGATGACCCGAAAGTTCTGGCTCGGTCATCACAAGTCTCGCGCAGGTGGCGAGATCTCCTAGCTGACGACATGACTTGGAAGAATCTATGCATGAAGCACGACTACCGACGTAGGATGTCCGAGGTTGAGGCTGCAAACTCTGGCGGCATGACCCGGCCGGCTATCCAGCCCCTGACGAGTATCGATTCAGAGGTCCCCAGTAGCAGCTTCCCCGGTTCTCTCCCTCTGGCTTCGAATAGTGGGGGTACCAGGAGCTTCGACGGCGCCGTCCCCCACTGGAGGCATAATCGCCCCAAGCTCAGATCGTACAAATCCCACTTCAAGCAGCGGTATCTGGTGGAGGCTGCATGGAGAGCTGGCGGTCATTGTGTAACCCGGAACATCACACAAGAGGGTGGCGTCGTGACCAGTCTCCACCTCACCCCTCAGTACATCATACTGGCTCTTGATAATGCCAAGATTCACGTCTTTGATATGGAGGGTAACCCGCTGCGCACACTACAGGGGCACATAATGGGCGTCTGGGCCATGGTTCCGTGGGGCGATACACTGGTCAGTGGAGGGTGTGACCGCGACGTACGTGTCTGGGACCTCGAGACTGGGTAAGCTTCTTTCCTCTTCATTCTCTCTCTCTCTCTTCCAGTGTACTGCAACGTGTATTTGCACTACTCTGGAAATGGCCACCAGTCATACTGACATCCCACCTTCCAGGACATGTCTCCACACACTACGTGGCCATACGTCAACTGTGCGGTGTTTGAAGATGGCAGACAAGAACACGGCCATATCGGGATCCCGGGATACAACTCTCCGTATCTGGGATATCCAGACGGGCCTCTGCAGAAATGTTCTCGTCGGTCATCAGTCTAGCGTTAGATGTCTCGAGATCAAGGGCGACATAGTGGTTTCCGGTAGTTACGACACATTCGCCAAGGTCTGGAGCATCTCGGAGGGACGCTGCCTGCAGACGTTGCAGGGTCACTACAGCCAGATTTACGCCATTGCCTTCGATGGAAAGCGTGTCGTGACTGGAAGTCTGGACACCAACGTCAGGATATGGGACCCCGTCTCTGGGTAAGGCCTCACCCCTTTCTCCCTTGAGGAACCCGAACAAGGATGCTAATGCTGTATGCCACAGAGAATGCCTGGCCATTCTTCAGGGACACACATCTCTGGTCGGGCAGTTACAGATGCGTGGCGACACACTCGTGACAGGCGGATCCGACGGTTCTGTGCGTGTATGGTCCCTGGAAAAGATGAGCCCCATCCACAGGCTGGCTGCGCACGATAACAGTGTTACGAGCTTGCAATTTGACGAGACACGGGTGGTCAGTGGCGGCAGTGATGGCCGAGTCAAGATCTGGGACCTCAAGACCGGCCACCTCGTCCGTGAATTGTTTGCTCAGGGGGAGGCGGTCTGGAGGGTTGCCTTTGAGGATGAGAAATGCGTGGCTTTGGCTCTAAGGCAAGGGCGTACAGTCATGGAGGTAAGATTGCATCCACCCCCCCATCCCTGCCCCCAACACAAGCTCCGTGCGAGCTAGAAGGGCTCTCGAGACTGGCTGGATGTTGGGCTTCCTTTTCCACTCTTTGATAAAATTGCTGACCTTACCCCTCTCTCTAGGTTTGGTCATTTACTCCTTCGCCGGAATCCATGTACGAGCAACCTCCCATCCAGCAGCGGGTGATTGAGGAGAAACCGAAGCGGCCCCTCAGCGCAATGCCGCTCGGTTATCATCCTCTGGAGACGGGGAGGCCAGGCTTCCTCTCCGATGGGGGTCTTTCATCTAATGATGTCACGATGACCGATGCAGGTCCGTCAACAGCACCTCTTCGGGGGAGCAATCCGGGTCTCTTCCAACACGACTGAAATGGAAGAGGAAATAAGAAGAAGGAGAGAAGAGAGCAAAACAAGATTTCCGACTGGAACTGGTTTAGCAAATCGATGAGCGGCTCCTACGTAGTTTGAGGCGTGGCTTGGATTTGCGCAGTTTGGTATTGCATAATAATGCTCGGCGCATTTTAGGGTATAGGATTCTCACGGGTGGTAATATTTTTTCATACATGTTTTTGGGTTGCATGATGCTAATCACTGGCGGTGCGTTTTATCTTACTATCAATTGGGGACTCTGTGTGCATATTCAAGTCTGTGTGTTGTGTGTGTTGTTGTCGATGTATGATGTATGATGCTTCAAGGGCCATTGTGTTCCGGGACCAATGGTGGTACAACTATATAGGATACATTGGTAGTGGTGTACGAGTACAGGTACGGGGTAATATTTGTAGAAGAAGGAATCAGAAGGAAAAAAATATCGCATAGACATATAATAACAAGAATAACCTCTGGGGCTCTTGCGAGCTATCCCGGGTCAATACTTACGTTACGGGGGTCGCGATAATAAATACGTAGCCCTGCGAAGGAAAGACGGAGGTAAATTCGGAGGCAACTACAGATTACGGAGGTTATCAACAGCGGTAGTACAGCGTGCCAAGTGCTAGGAGTTCTAGGCATTAGGCGATAATAATGGGACTGGTGGATGCAAGGCCGGTGAGAGGAGGGATCCATAATTTAGGAGTGATTTTTTTTTATCCCTTTTTTTATCCCCTGGTAACTCTTCATCTCCTTTTACCGCCGGAGTCGGCGGCAGTATTGATGAGGGAATCAGGACGGTCGTCGACACACAGTCAGTACGAGCAGGGCAGTCAACATGGCATTTGACAAAGGAAGGAGGATAATTCCATGTCATGGCTTAGAATATCTGATTTTATTTTATTTTGTTTTTTTTGCTGTCCGAACACTCTCATCTAAATGTTATCAATCGTCAAGTAATCTGTACATGCACTCGTACCTGTAGAACACCAACAATACGGAGTAACACTGCCTTTATCGGTCCGTATCAGGAATTCAATGAGGCTGAATGGAGTGTCAAGAGATGATATAAGTCACGTGAATACGCAAGACCATACCTAATCAGGAATAGAACTCAACCAAAAATCCTAGTCTCCTGCCAACCAAGGGACTCCCCTCCCCCCCAGTAGTCCCAGTAAGTAGTCCCAGTAAGTAGTCCCAGTAGTAGTCCCAGCAGCAGGGCCGTCCCCCCAACCAACCGTCGCAAAATCCCGGAGCGAAAGAGTGGAAAGCTATCATCTCTCCTTGTCAAATCCTCTCACGCATTTGCTTGCATTTCCCTTTACCTCCTGCTCCTGCTCTTC